CTTTGGGATCAAGACAGATGATGAAGGAAAAGAAAGGACTTCTCCAAAGCGGAAACTTCAATGTCCAATAAAACATCACCATGCAGATGCTGAAACTTGACTGCACACTTTCAGGCTTGAAATCTGACACTGATATTTTGAAATCCAGCCATTCAGGTTGATCAAATGAAAGAAGGGCACACAAAGCTATTTTGCAATTCTCGTACCACCAAAAACTGTACACGATGCTGACTTCATGGTGGCTTTGAAAAAACAGAGGCCTGGATCCAAAGACCTGTGAGCAAAAGAAGGAAGTACATCAGAGTTTTTCTACAAACTCTTGCACAACATAGGAAGAGGACATATATGTCATATATCATGTTGGACCATTTGTCCATATAGTTCAATTTTATCTTCACTGGCTGGCAGCAGCTCTCCATGGTTATTCCCAGCCCTACATTGAGTTATCTAGGATTGAATCAGGGCAGTTTTGCATGCAAAGCGCATCCTCTGTCACCAAGCTAGATGAACTTCTCTTGAGTTTTACTGTGCATGCAGTTTTCCTGAGCTATAGCCCTTTCCCAGCTAATAGAAACATAGAAAACTGCCTTATACTAAGCCAGACCATCAGTCCACCTAGCTCAATATTGTCCACACTAACTGACAGCAGCTCCCCAGGGTTTCCATCAGGGCTCTTCTCCAGCTATCTCTGCTTTATGCTTTACCACTGATTTAGTGGAAGACACGCACACTGCGATGCCGTGCATCACGGGGTTGACTTGCAGCTCGGTATAAAAATGTCGAAAAAGAAAAAGGCAGCTGGCTGTGTGCAAATTCTAGTGGGCCAGGGAAAAGCCAACATTATCGGCTCTGTATGGCAGGGGCCTCCAGTTCTGTGACCTGAGGTCCTTTCCACTTTACTTGAAGACGGTCTGCCTACAAATGCCACTTAACCAGGAATCACAAATGGGTGGAGTGCTGTTACACTCAGGTCTTGTTTTCAGGCATCCCTTTGGAGCATCTGGTTGACTGCTGTGAGAACAGGATGCTGGACTAGGATGGGCTATTGGCTTGATTCAGCAGATGGCCATCTGTTGGGGATTGTTCCTGCATTGCAGGGGATTGGGCTTCATGACCCCTGGGGGTGACTTCCAACTCTATAATACTGTGACTCTATTATCATTATGTTTGCATGCTCTTATGAAAAAAGGCAGTGCCTTTTTTCTGGGGGGACTCAAGGTTATGCAGTACCAGCACCCTTTTTTTTCTAGAAGAAAGGCACTGGATAGCAGGAATCGAACCTCACACCATCTGCACACATCCAGTTGGGTTGTACTACAGAGCTATGGCGCTTGTCTCAATTGGTGTTTCCCTGCCCCCTTCTGCAGTCTGACTGTTTGCAGGTTCAGAAACAGATAAAATAGGCAAACCTAGAGGAAGACCAGGGGTAGATATTCATTTATTCTCCAAAGCAACAGCCCATCCTGGCTTCACTGACAAACAGAGATGGAGGGAGGGAGAAAGCACCTTTCCATCAAATTAATAACAATCCAGTTGGCTGCTGACTTAATTAGTGAACCCATAACATAGGTGGAGGCTTGGCAAAGGCCCCCCCCCCCCGCGCGCCCACCGTTTGCAACTTCTTTTGCCCTTCTAATTACTCACTTCTTGCTATGCCAGCAGACCCGCCAACCAAATTACCATTGATTTGTCACTCCTGCCCAGTCAATTTCATTGACCCAGGCATCAAAAAGACAAATTTGCATCCACACCTTCCTCAAGTGGCAAGCTCTAGGCTTTAGGAATTATGTGCAAAAGAGCCCCTGTTGCCTGGTGCCACTAGTGCTGGGAGAGGGGAGGAAGGAAATGGGGAAGGGGCTTCGGCCTTGAGCCAGGGAGTTCTCTGCCTTGCACAGCCATTTTGTTTGGTAGCCATGGGTAAATTGGGCGTTCCTAAGGATCCTTGCAGAATCCGCCTCTTCTGGATTGAGAGAGTCTACTGTACTGTTATTGTACTGCAAGTACATTTCTGGAATTTTACAAGACAAGAGGGTGTATGTGTGTCTGTTTGGGGTGTGTGTGTGTGTGTTCCTCTTCCATTTTTTGCATCTTTGTACTCACCAAAGTTAATTAAAAAGTGAATCCCCCCCCCTCCAAAAAGGCATGCAAATATACCAGGGTGGGTTACAGCAATTTAAAACCCGCTATTAAAAACAGCTTAAAACAAATTACGGTCACGAGAATAGGGTGGGTCCTGAATATATATTTCTCATTTACCTGAACGAATAGATTCAAGTTACAAGAAAGGAGATTCTGACTGAACATTAGGAAGAACTTTCTGACAGTAAGAACTATTCGGAAATACCTCGGAAGGTGGTGGGCTGGAGGTTGTTAAGCAGAGGTCAGATGGCCATGTGTCAGGGATTCTTTAGCTGTGATTCCAGTATTGCAGGGGGCTGGACTAGATGACCCTAGGGGTCCCTTCCAGCTCTATAGTTCTATGATTCTACAGGTGTTGAAGGGCAGAGTAAAGGCATACATCTTCGGTATACAGTGGAAACTATGCAATGAAGGTGTCAGGTGTGCCTCTGTAGAGAGGGGATTCAACAACTTAGGGGCTGCTACAGAGAATGTCCCTCCCCAGGCCACCGACACCCAAACTTCTGAGGACAGTGAAACAACCAAGAGGGCCTTGTCCTATGATCCTAACACCCAAGAAAGTCTGCAGAGAAGAATGTGGTCTTTCTGATATTTAGGGCTTTAAAAACTTATATGAACACCTTGAATTGGGCCTCAAAATGAAATGGCCACCTGTGCAACTGTTTTAGAGCTTCAGACATGAGCTTATCGCCTCATCTACTCATTGTGCAAACTTGGCCATAATTTACCACCATGGGGTAATAATACACTTATTTCCCTGGCTCCTGCAAAAGCCAGAAGCCTGCTTGATCCACCATCCCAGCTAGAAATGTAGAACCGGCCTTCATGCCTCTTTTATAGCTCAGTTAAGTGAGATGCTCTGTTCTGCGAGGGTTCTGTCAGCTCCAAGCAGCGAGAGATGTGAAGACATTTCTGCACCTATGCTTGGAGACAGCTGGGAGCTGTTAGGATGAGGCTTCTGTGAGAAAGCTAGTGGAGATGTGGCACTTGTACCTGAGGTGGCTGCGATCAGCATCTGGAGTCGCACCAGGCAGGAATGTAGGCTGGATGCTGTTGACACAACTCCTGGTTTAAGAGCTGTGTAGGCTGGCCTCAAGAAGACTCATCACCCACCACCTGACGCATCCTCTCCCATCAAAGCCTCCTTCAGCTTCCACATGCACACACATCAAAGCATTCATCAGGCTTCAGGCCCTTCTCCCCTAGCAATGAAAAAGCAACAGAAGAGCCCTGTTAGAACGGGCCAAAGGCCCATCTTATCCAGCAATCTGTTCACTCAGTGGCCAACCAGAGGCAGTGATGTTTTGTGGTTAGGTTGGGCTAGAACACGGGACAGACCAGGGTTCAAACCCCCATTCAGCCACTGAGGTCACTGGGTGACCTTGGGCTAGCCTCTGCCTCTCAGCCTAACCCACCTTGCAGAGTTATTGTGGGGAGAAAATGGGGAGGAGCAGAAGAATATAGGCCACCTTGAGCTTCATGGAGGAAAAGTAACAAATAAACGAAACCAGATACCGGTGGGAAGCCCAAAGGCAAGAGATGAGCACCGTTGCACTCTGGAGTTGCCTGAGGTCACCAGCAACTTGTATTAGCCCTAGAAAGGTACTTTACACAGAGACTGTTGGGACATTGGTTCGATTCCCATATGGGGCAGCTGCATATTCCTATTTTGCAGGGCGTTGGACAAGATGATCCTCAGCATCCCTTCCAAATCTACAGTTCTATGATTCTACAGTTCTACCTCAGGGATGGTGAACCTGATGCCCTTCAGGTGTTGTTGGACTACAGTCTCCATCACTCTTGACCATTGACCATGCTGGCTGGTGCTGATGGAATCTGGGAGCCCAAGACCATCTGGATGAGTGCAGGTTCTCCATCCCTGCTGGAAGGCACAAAGTAGTATATCTACAGAGCTGTAAGAATATTGCCACTATGCACCTGCCCATTATCTTCTAACCAACGTTGCAAGGTCTGGCTCCCCTGTTGTAGTGGAATTCCAACTTATGACTGGTGCTGCCCTGCAGACTTTCCCCTCCCCATAAGGAAAGGGACAGATTTCCCTTGTAATCGGGGACCCATTTAATCAACAATTCCACTTAATAATGAAAATGTTTCCCCGGGCAGTGAATTAAGCTTTAATGATCCTTAATGGTGAGGGTCACTGATTAACTGGGATGACAATACTGCTAAACTGGGGGGGGGGGGAGTGGCAGCAGCGAGGTGATTAAGAGAGACTTTGAGAGGGTGAGCTGGCATCTGCGGATGCTTGAGGGAGTTGGGGGAGGGAGAGAGGCCTGATGGCATTTTTCAAAGCCTCTTTCAAATGATGCTTCAGAGATCAAAGAACAGAGGGAACGTAGGAAGCTGCCTTACTCAGAGTCAGACCATTGGTGCATTAGATCAGTAAGGTAAAAGATTAAGGTCCCCTGGATGGTTTGGACTCAAGGCAACTATGGGGTTGCTGTGCTCATCTCGCTTTCAGGCCTAAGGAGCAGGTGTTTGTCCACAGACAGCTTTCCAGGTCATGTGGCCAGCATGACTAAACTGCTTCTGGTGCAACAGAAACACTGTGATGGAAATCAGAGTGCACAGAAATGCCATTTGCCTTCCTACCGCAGCGGTACCTATTTATCTACTTGCACTGGCGTACTTTCGAACTGCTAGGTTGGCAGGAGCTGGGACAGAGCAATGGGAGCTCACCCTGTTGTGGGGATTCAAACCGCCAACCTTCTTATCGGCAAGCTCAAGAGACTCAGTGGTTTAGAACTGAGCCACCCGCGTCCCCTATTAGATCAGTACTGCCAGTGTCGGTCAGCAGTGGCTCCCCAGAGTTACAGACAGGAGTCATTCCTAGCCCTAACTGGAGTTGCTGGGGGTTGAACCCAGGACCTTCTGCATGCAAAACATATTCTTTCTCACTGAGCTATGACTCTTGCTGGAAGAGTTCCATAGGGACTGCAAGGGAAGATCTCCAGTGCCGAAGGGGGATGGGCAGGGAGCTCGCAACAGTTCCTGACATAATCAAGATTCTTTGAGGGTTTTGCAGTAAAAAAATCAGCACTTTGATTTGAGGTTGGAAAATGGGTTGGTCTCCAGCGTAGAGACCTCAAAACAGGTGATGTGTGAGTGAGAATATTGGTCCACACCTGTCTTCAGGTGAGAAGATGGGGCCCCTACAGCCTTGCCTATCACCCACACAGAACCAGCTAGGAGGTCCTAGAAAGATCAGGGAGAGCCTCTGCCCTGCCTCTGACCTCTCTAGCCAGACCTCACATGCTTCTGCCTCAGCAACAGCACCCTCTTCTAGCCATACCCCTCATCAATATTGCTCTGTGCCCTCTTTCAGTAACTTTGCCTTGTTGGGATTTGTTGTCCTTGAAGTCTAGCAATGCCTCTTGCTATCCTGGATACGGAGGACAGAGAGAGATGTGTAGAAACCTCACCAATGGAAATGAAACAGTCACATGCGTTTCCCTGCCCACCCTCTTTTGCTTCTAGTCCTGTCTCTCCCCCCCCCCCCCCGCCCCCCACTCTGGACACAGGTTGCCTCCAAAGGGCTGCTGACAAAGGGAATGCGGCCCTTCGAATGAAAAAGCTGCCCTGCCCCCCACAAGGAAGAGGAATCCTACCAGAACAATCAGCCACCTGCAGGGGAAATCTGATTACACCCATCCATTGCTTGACAGTCCATTGCTTGGGAAACTCAGCTTGGTTCAAGGTCTCAGACAAGGTCAAGGTCCCAAGTTGACCTTCTGGTCCCAAGTGAGGCTGCAGGAGGAGCTGCCCTTCAGTCTGAAAACTCCAAGGTGGCACCCGGCTCATCTCCCCGCCTCCCCCAGAGTAATTAATTTGATCCGCAGATGCCAGAGGAGGCCTCCTGCTGGAATCAATGCTCAAGATTATTGAGCCGGGGACAGGTGCTGGTTATTACCCTGGGCAGGGGATTAGATTCTGAGCCCAGCTGTCAGGGGGAGAAGAGAGCAGTATCTGTCTGCAGGCAGAACCTCTTTGCTTTCTCATTCCCTCCCTCCCTCTGGATCCCTCTCCCTCCACTTCATCTTTCATGGGGACTGAACCCTCGGCTCATCCTTCTCTGCCAAAGAGAATGAAAAAGCGAGGAGTTACAACATAATCAGCAGCCAAACGTGAAAGGGAGACAGAGAGAGAGTTAAGAAGATGGACACTCGAGCATTCAGCTCTGCGCGAGGAGAAAGTATGAGATATGCAAAGGGGGAGCGGGGGTAGAGCACAACTCTGGGTTTCTCCTTCTGAGAATTCGGCACATAAGCAGGTCTCCTTCCACCCCTCTAGACTGCACCCAAATTGCAGCAAACTGGTAATCTCAGGCTGTTGCGTTTTCCCCCCCTCCTACCCAGAAGGAATTTTCATGTCGGACAAGCTGTGTGTACATTGTCCGTGTTGTCAGAATAGCTTTGCATGTGCTCATTTTGCTGTGTGCACATGTGTGCCCTAATCTAACAAAGGGGGATCTTCACACTGAAACAGATTTCTGCACCTGTCGCCAGTGCCACTGTGCACCTGGATGTAGTGCACAGCTGTATTCCCCTCTGGATCCTTTTGCTAGAAGAAACACCTGGATGCAAGCAGGAGATGATCACTCAGTTTATGCAAAACTAGTTGCTCGCAAACAGTGCTGGAAAGGGTGCACAAACCCTGGGAAACCACAGCCAACCATTGTTTCCAGTGGATGTTTCCGAGAGTACCTGTGGAGAGGAAGGAGAGGAAATGGAGACCAGGCTTGGTACAGGGGAGGGGAACCCTTTTTTTCCAATGCAGGGGCCACATTACCTTCTGGGCAACCTTTTGAGGGCCACATGGCATTAGTGGGTGGGACCAGAAATAAGGTAAAGGTAAAAAAGTTAAAGGACCCCTGGACGGTTAAGTCCAATCAAAGGCTACTATGGGGTTGCGGCGCCTATCTCGCTTTCAGGCTGAGGGAGCCAGCATTTGTCCACAGACAGCTTTTCGGGTCATGTGGCCAGCATGACTAAACTACTTCTGGTGCAACGGAACACCGTGATGGAAATCAGAGCACACGGAAACGCCATTTACCTTCCCACCTATTTATCTATTCGCACTGGTATGCTTTCGAACTGCTAGGTTGGCAGGAGCTGGGACAGAGCAACGGGAGCTCACCCTATCGCGGGGATTCGAACCACCAACCTTCTGATCAGCAAGCCCAAGAGACTCAGTGGTTTAGACCACAGCACCACCAGAAGTACAGTGGGCAGAGCAACAAATATGATTTGCTTTCCTCCTCCACTGACTCTCTACCCAGGCAACCAAGAAGGTCAGTAGTTTCAGAGGTATAGCCACGGAAAAGAGAGGAGCATGATCATAAAGTACAACTTGTCTGCCCCCGTTTCTCTCCATAGATTCCCCATTTTTGGAGCATGAAAGAAAAAGAGCTCAGGAAGTGGATTTCGCTCACTTCAAGCTTACGTCTTAGTCCTGGCCTAGTTCTTAATATCTGACAGATACAGAAAGGGAGATGCAAACAGGAGCAGAGGAGACATATTTCACCCTATGTAAATCCCGTCGAAAGTTCCTCTAAAATAATAGCAGGGTGGCACTTGACTTCAAGGAGGATTAAAAAGATTTACCCAGAGGAGAAGGCTGACTGTTGGAGAGGCAAATATCAGCAGGCAGATACATTGCACACTTGGCGGAACAGTCTGGTGATGCAAATTTTTTTGGATAAGGTTATTAAGCAAGATTAAGGCAATAATAGATGCAGACATTCCATTGAACCTTATTTGGCTGTGAGTGGAATGGTGGGGAGGGAATCGCATCAGACTTTACTGACAGAAGCAAAAAAATATTAGTAGCTGAGGAGAAGGGAAACAGGTATACCAAAAATAGCAGATTGGAAAAGAAAATGTTGAACTTTACTCAGATGTGTGAAACTAATCTATTCAATTAAATTGAAAATTGGAATTGAAAATGAAAACCCCAATATAATAATAATATATACAAATCTATGGTCCAACCCACACATTTGGAACACTGTCCATAGTTCTGGTTGCCTCATCTAAAAAATGATATTGTAGTGTCTGGATGAGGAAAACCAAAATGATCAAAGGGCTCCAAAAGCTCAAGGTTCTTGTGTTATCTCACAAAGCCCTAAACTTGATTTCAGGCCCAAAGTACCTCAACGACTGTCTCACACCCTCCAACATTTCTCTGATGAAAATAGGGACGTCCCATTCCATAATGATAATTTTACTATTTATACCCCAAACATCTTATTGGGTTGCTCCAGCCACTCTGGGCAGCTTCCAACATATTAAAAATAATAATAGAACATTAAAAAAAATAAATCACTTCCCTATACAGGATTGCCTTCAAACCGCTCAGGGGTCGGATAACTCCATACCCTCCAACATTGCTCCAATCAAAATAGAGACATCCAAAGGAAAAGCAGGACATTCTGAGATCAAATCAGAAACCAGGGATGGCTTCTCTAAATCAGGGACGTCCCTGGAAAATAGGGACACTTGAAAGATCTGCTGTCTGCTCCCCCATGTTCCACCTTAATCACAGAGAACCTCCAGAGGGGCAGTTCTGGTGGTTCCCCACTTACCTCCGAGGTCTGGCTGGTCTTTACTAGGCACTGAGTCTTTAGTGTAGCAGCAGGCTCTGCCCTGTGGAACCCCCTGCCACTAGAAGTTTGGCAGGAACCATTCCTGTCTTTTTTTTAGACTGAGAAACTGTACTTTTTAAACAGGCCTTCACAATATGAATTGTTAACCAACCAGTATCTATAGATGTTTTAATTATGTTTTTCAGAGATCTACTGTATTAATCTATTTTATTGTATTTTAGGTTGCAAGCCACCTTGATGAAGTTTATGAAAGTGCAGGTTGCAAATATTAAAACTGATTAATTGATTAATTTAAAATGCCCCCAAATAGCAAGCAACCTTTTGAGTCCTGCAGAATACTTCGGGCCCGGTGTTTAGCAATATTAGGGTGATGGGAGGTGGGAGGAAAAGCTGATGTTGGAGCCCAAACATCAGCAGTTTGTAACTATCTTAAGGTAGGGGGCAGGAGGCCTAGGGAAGACTTAACTGACTACCAGGTAGGTTTAAAACAGATTTTAGGATGCAATGAGGGTTGCTGGGATGAAGAAATAACAGCGGCCACAAAGTCCCTGATGAGGATGTTGGGTTGATCTGCTGCACATTTTACTCTCACCCTCTTCCTCCCAGGTGACCTGGGCAAAGCCAGCTCTGGAGGTGTCAAGGTCAATCAGTCCTTGGGTTCCCAAGATGAAGAAAAGGCCCTCTTTCCCCAAAACTTTGCCATTATCATTGCACATAGAGTACTCAAGAAGGCCAGGGTCCCTGTAAGAGGATTCTCAGCTTACATGTCTCTTTCCTTTCCAAACTAAGAAGACTCACTAAATTGCATCAGCTGAGGGGATCCACTGATTCCTGGAGCCAGGGATTTACACTGATGGAGCTCTCTGGAAACTCAGGTCACATCCCCACCATCTATTTAAAGGAAGAAGAAGAAGAAGAAGAAGAAGAAGAAGAAGAAGAAGAAGAAGAAGAAGAAGAGGAGGAGGAGTTTGGATTTGATATCCCACCTTTCACTCCCTTTAAGGAGTCTCAAAGTGGCTAACATTCTCCTTTCCCTTCCTCCCCCACAACAAACACTCTGTGAGGTGAGTGGGGCTGAGAGACTTCAAAGAAGTGTGACTGGCCCAAGGTCACCCAGCAGCTGCATGTGGAGGAGCGGAGACTCAAACCTGGTTCCCCAGATTACGAGACTACCGCTCTTAACCACTACACCACACTGGGTCTCATACCGCTTTAGAATTCATGGCTTCCCCCCAAAGAACCCTGGGAACTATAGCTCTTCAAGGGTGCTTAGCACCCTTAACACACTGCAGTTCCCAGATACCCTCA